TTTTGAATTGTTATATCAATGCATATTTCAAAAGTATCATATTACATTAGACTCAGATATTAAAATTTATAGGGGTGTATTATAGATATAATATAATAAGTTTTTATAAAAGAAAAAATAAGAAAAAGAAAAAAGAATTAGAAGATTTGAAGTAGGGATCGTGATATGTTAGATACCTCAACAAAAGCAGCAGAAATTTACGATTTATTGAAGATGAAAGTCCGGTCGATTACAGTTGAACAGGAAAGAACAGAAACAAAGAGAAGAAATCAGAACGAGACACTTCGAGCAGTCCCCTCTCCCAAGTCCCAAGCCTAATTCCAATTTCTGCCTAACTTCCTTCTTCTTTCCTTCCCACTCTTATAGTAATTATATCCTAACGGGCCAGCCCACTATTACATTGGATTAAAATACTCAGTATTATTTCTATTATATCTCACTCCATAAGCCCATAAGTCCAGGTCTCTATCATCACTCCTCCCTTTGACAACCACCTTGTCCTCAAGGTGGGAAGTAAGAGCCTTGACCTTCAACTTCATCTTCATCCGGGCACCTCTTCCTTCCCAGTATCTAACTGATGGCGGAACCATGAGTGTGCCTGCCTGGAGAACACGCTGATTGTTGGGATCTTTGTAATTGTTTTGTTCCTCATGATCAGATGGTGCTGTTTGATCTTTTCTTTCAACATGCTTTTCTGGATGTACTGGTTGCGAATTGATAAAACAGCCAATGCTGCAAGTCATTAAAATAATGTGTCCATCTCTGGTTAAGCACAAAGCAAGTTCTTCCTTAGTTTCATATGAGATTCCACCTTCCGGTTTCACAGTGTTTTGATGAACACCCAAAGATGCCTTAGCAGAATAGACCAGAGATCTTGAGTTAGAGTGACTGTATATTACAAATAAAACCGAAGGTGAGCCAATATCAAGCAGAGCAACCCGGCGACTTTCAAATCCCAGAACCCGTTTGGATCCTGATGCCATGTACCGCCAGATGCATACTGAAGAACTGACAAGTGAAGAGTGAGTTGTGCATTGATACACAACACCACTTGGGAAAAGGGAAACTTCAGTGTTGGGTTCAGTGATCAATTGCAATCTTGTTTCCTCAGAGCCAGAGCTACTGCCAATCATGTAATCGTGAAATTGGACAGATTCGTGTCCAATAACAACACTCAAAAAATGAGTGTAAGAGTCTAGAGTTGTTGTTGCCGCAGTAGTACTAATGATCTCCATGCCGTTTACCTCAGGTAGAGTAGCCAACGTAAGTGGTAAAACTGGGTACATGACCTTCACCTCAGATAAGAATTCACAGGTAGCAAAATGTTTATGGAATGATTTGACTTCTACCTGAGAATTGATGTGGACCAAACTTAGAGATGCTTTCTCTGAGGGACCGTTCAGCATTTCAAAATGTTGTAGAAGAAATGAAGCATCTGGATGCTCTTGCTCATGAGTTATTTATGACATTGAAATTAATTGATATCCTGAAACGATTTTACTTCTCCATGGTGGCCAAACAACGTCAAAGCCATCCATGTTAATACCAGCTTCTTCAAAGTTTACCACGAAAATCAGTGCCCTGTCCTTTAACTCTGCCAGAATCCCAGAATGCAATAGTTTCAACTTGACTCTAATCTCCTCCTTTAATCCATTCATGAATTTGTCTTTAAGCATCTCAGACTCCTTGAATTTCATAGAAGCTATCACCAATTCATATATCTCGTCATCTGATGCCTTTCGGTTCAAGTATTTTTGAGAATTTGGGAATAGGAGGGACACATTTTCATTTCCATGCTTGCCAATAATAAATATACCAATCTTAATAATGTCCTCAGGTACCAAGTGGTAAGCACAATTTGATATATTCAAATCAATCTCCCTTCTTGGGCTGATATGATTTCTGTTAATGGACACCTCCTCTTTATATGATGTAGGCTGTGAACTGATGATTTCTCCTCTGTCTAGCCTCACACTAGGGCTCGCATAGGATGATCCCGTTGATTTCAAGTCTCCTCCTGATCGAGTCACACAAGAGCTGTTAGTAGATGAAGAGACCTGTGAACAGGGGAGATCTGTTTGTGGAGAACCCTGAGGTCTGGGAGATACTGTTTGCGGCGAAGCTGGCGAACTGGAAGAAGCTGCTGACGATGAAGATCGAAGAGGAGAAACAGTTCACAACGAACTGGGAGATGATGCGGTTACCCACTGCGAACTGGATGAAGCTAGAGATGAAGTCAGCGAACCGGAAGATGAAGTTCGCGATTGCGAACTGGAATGATTCCTGAGCGTCGAACTCTGCGACCTATGAGAAGTTGTACGTGAAGGGGCCTGTGAACTGCGGACATCTGCTCGGGGCGACGCTTGCGAACAGGGAAGAGCTATTGACGATCGCTGAGAACTGCGATAAATTGTAGGCGACGAAGAGGGCTGGTGAGTAACGGCTAACGTCGAGCATTGTTTTTCAATTGGCCGACGATGTCTAGGAGGGCTCCTAGCTCTGTCTCTATGTCGCCTCTGACGGTGACGAAGTTTGCGCAGCATATAGCGCAACTCCTTCCAACTGTCGCTATTGTCCATCCTCTTCTTCGACTGTCGTTGAAACTGACGATCGATTCAGGCTCCAGGAAGGATGCTTTGATACCAATGTTAGATACCTCAACAAAAGCAGCAGAAATTTACGATTTATTGAAGATGAAAGTCTGGTCGATTACAACTGAACAGGAAAGAACAGAAAGAAAGAGAAGAAATCAGAACGAGACACTTCGAGCAGTCCCCTCTCCCAAGTCCCAAGTCTAATTCCAATTTCTGCCTAACTTCCTTCTTCCTTCCTTCCCACTCTTATAGTAATTATATCCTAACGGGCCAGCCCACTATTACATTTGATTAAAATACTCAGTATTATTTCTATTATATCTCACTCCATAAGCCCATAAGTTCAGGTCTCTATCATGATACTCATTGTTAGTCTCTTAAATACTCAATAAAATAGGTCTGATGCTCATTAAAAGTACACTATTGCTCATTTAGCGGAAGACGTGATTTTTCGCTTAAATTACAAAAATCCCACCGAATTAATTTTGGTCTGTATTAGTTTTTGGGCTGTATACCTTAGTTGGGCCGGGTGTACATACACCCGGATGTACCATATAGGCACTCGAAACTAGTCAGACTGGAAATTAGGAGAGCGAGACCTTAAGAAAGACATGTATACTAAAAATGTGTACATGATGAATTAAGTTTTTTGAATTATTGAATGACTTTGTATATTCATTTTACAATTTCTTGTTTACGTTGGTATTCTATTTTCGATACTTAAGATAGGGGTGGACTCGGGCCGGGCCAACTGGCCCGGAACCGGACCGGCCCGCTACTGTGCGGGCCCAGACTAGCCCGGTGAACCGGTTGGTTGGCCGGTTCAGGCCACCCGGCCCGGTGGGATGTCGGTTCGGGCTCGGGCCCTTCAAAAGGTGAACCGGCCCGGCCGGTTCAGGGCCGGGCCAAGTTTTTTTTTTTTTTGAATTTTTTTTAAGTTTTTGGGTTGGGCTGGGTATTTTGGGCCATTTGAGGTGGTTAGGATTGGTTTGGGGTGAGGGAGACGGTTGGGGGTTAACTAGGAAAAGCCAAAAAAAAATAGAACTGAGGCCCGGCCCGGCCCGACCCGGACCCGGGGGTTACCCGGGCCGATTCCGGGCCTCCCCTTCCTGAACCGAGGCCCGACTGAGCCCAGACCCGAACCGTGCCCGAACCGGAACCGGTCCATCCCTACGTCTTAAGACAATTCATTTAAGAAAGTATTTAATATGAAAATATAGAAAACTTTATTTGATTTGTATAAAAACTATATCGGTTTTACCAAATGCACTTCCCATATAACAATCCTATATATGAACAATGCATATATAAATCAAAATGGAAAACATTCGTAAATCTTAATAGATTAGGACATTTACCATAATTATAACCACTCCTGATTAAAATTTAAAACGGAAAACTTCCAAACTAACTCTGTATGCTTAGGAAAGCAAGTGCACAATTGATTTACCTAAAAGCCCCTATGATACAAATCAAATGTAACACATTTAATGCAAGTTACTAATTCCTTTAATTTTTTGGGTTTTGGATTCCAACGACTCTTTTTACTCATTTCTCTCTGAACCATTTTCTCACCAAAATCATTTGTATTCGTGCTCGAAAACTATTTGATTCAAAAACATATTCTAGCAATATTGGTAGAAATGATTTTTGCAGCATTACATCAAGCATGGATAGCACAGACAGAGGGCATCTCTCAATTTATCAAGTTTGGGATTTTGCTATCTAGTCTAGGGGGATGAACCCAGTCCGACCAGTCTAGAATCGGGCCAGTCTAGAACCGGGTCCAGTATTGTTCGAAAGCACAAAAAAAGCTCGGCCCAGCCCGGATCCGGTATCGATCCAGGTCGGTTTCGGGCCCAACAATTTGAAAAAAAAAACCTGTCCGGGCTCAACCCGGAACCGGACCGGCCCGGGTCCATCCCTAGTGGGATCTAGTGGCAAATATTGCGAATATGAATAGCAATCTCAAATAGTGTTTAGCAATGGGATTTGCTCTATTTGAGTGGCTGCTGTGTCAGTAGGTGCAGGAGTTTTCTGAGCAGTTTTTATTCTGGATTGGTATTTCTGCAAGCATTTCGCATTAATCAATTTAAATTAACCCCTTGTAGAAGCTCCCCTGTAGGATCACTACTTCCTCATGCTAATAAATACTCTCTCCGTTCTCTAATACTTGGCCCTCTTTCCATTTTGGGATGTTCTCTATTAGTTGTCTCTCTTTCCACTTTTGATAAGTTTTTTCAATAAATATACTAATTTACCCTCATTCTCTTTCCTACTTTTACCTTCACTTTCCTACTTTTACCTTTACACACAACCCACTACACCTTTTATCTTACCCCTATTAATTTCTTCTTAAATATTGTGCCAAAGGCTATACTCCCATCTATTAGAGAACGGAGGGAGTAAAATCAAATGCACTAGTTCCCTTCACACATGTAAATTGTTCGAAAAAAGCCAACCCAAGTATTCCTCCGCCCTTCCTCAATGTCACTTTTAGCATAGCATATACGGGTAATATATGTCCCTTGAGCTGTTAAGCATAGGCATATATGATACATTTAGCTATGTGTTAGCAAATACTATTTAAGTTACAACGTCACATGGTAAGGTTGAAGTCTTGAAGATCTCCATCTGTTTGATAAACTACACATTTTCAATATTCAACCCAACACAAACATATGGTGTAAAACTCTCTTTTTCTGAGTCTAGCCGCGAGACTGAGGGCTCAAAACTGCACGCCACTACCTCCATTAAGGTTGATATTCACATGCATTAGGCCGAGGAGCCTAGTCTGGTAGCTTCAAACGACTGAAAAGCAGAAGAAAGCTCTGCTCTAGATCGGTGTACAGAAAACCAAGATCTGCACCTTTAATGTGTGGCCCAAAACCCTGCATGTTTAACCAAGTCTTAATACACTTGCGCAGGTAGGAGAGCCCGGGCCCAAGCCTACCTCCAGTTCGTTAAAAACATTTATATATGTATAATCTATTTAGTATAAAATTCTATGAAACAAATTTCTTTCCGGCCCAACAAAAATGTAAGAATTGGGATCCTGGCTACACCATTGACATGCTATCACATATGTATGGTTGTATATATACGTATGGGTGGGTGTATATACACACATAAACACACATGTTTATATGTAATTATCTTACAATCACTGCAAAATAAAATTCTTGTACAGGATAGTTACATAAACGATGTCACATTACAAGAATTGATCATTAATTAGAAAAATGCAAGTTTGAGATCAAAAGTTCTCATTCTTAGATGTGCTCAAGATAAAAGGTGTTTTTAGAAGAACCATCTTTTATATATACATATGTATACAAACACACACACATACACACACACAAATATATACAAAGATATGTATTTAGATGTAATATATGTGTCAATATATACGCTATATGTGTGTGTAGGGTTAGGTGTAAATGAAAAGAACACTTCACATGAAAAATAAGAATACATCTGCCTTTTGTTAATAAAAATGGATGAATTGGATCATTTTTTATTTAAGAGGCGCTGAAAAATCTGCAACGCCTTGAGTTATATTTTGGTCAAAAACAAAGTACGCCCAACGGAAATCCAGTGTTTTCAATCATTCGGGCCCTATACCTACACAGTTTATTTTTCGGGTCCCGGATTAATATTTCATTTATCTTTCAGGCCAAAATCCTCTCAGCTTTAGGTGAGAGTATCTTGTTTCTGCACCCAAAAAATCACCCCTACAACTAACTCATTCACAATATTAATTTGTGTAAAATGGAACATATTTAGTTTAAGACAGATTTTTTCCATATTATCTCATTTTTGTCATATTATCATTTTTCTAAAAATAATTTTACGAGATCATCATTATGTTGGGCATGAGTTTTCACCCTTATGCGTAATGTTGTAGTATGTGTATTTGGAGGATCGAGAACATAAGAATGTCATAAAAGGTTAGCAGATTACCTTGCCATCGAGTTGAAGCAACTCCCCTTCAACCCACTTGGGATTTTTGAAACCAGGTTCTGCTATTCTACCTTGGCCTTTGTAGCTTGCAGCCTACAGATTCAAAATGCAATATGACTTGCCTGAAACATATCTCTCGAGTCTTGACTAGCAGTTCAGAAGTCGGAACTACATAGTGAAATTCCTATTGTTTAACAATATCAATAGGTGCATCACTGTGTCTAAAAGGAAGGGTGAAGAAATATATTTTTTATCGGAGTAAAATTATCTAAAAAAGGTACTATGAAGTTACTTTTTCATGAGTAGTAGTTGCAGTAGTAATGAACTGAAGTTAATGGTCATTTGTCAGTAGGCTCCAAACAGATGCATTTCTTTCATATAAGTTACGAAAACATTTAAGTTTAGCAATTCATTCACCTTATGGGAGGCCTTTATCGACCCAAGGTGTCACTAATTTTACCAGAAATGATAAAATCAGGAACTAAGTAAAATCAGGAACTAAGAACCGGGAATGCTGGAAAACTTGAGCTGCTCTGCTCAGCAGTTTATTTACAGTTATATAGGAAACATGGGAATATATGTACAAGGAAACAAATCAAGGGATTCTTACAATTAATGCAAGATATTCATGCACTCAATGCCTAATAAAATCTACCTATAATTACAAAGATTCAATAAGATACAAAGATATTTTTCTACTGATTCCCTGATTGACATCCCCCCTCAAATTGATGCTGGTTGATCAACAAGCATCAATTTGCCTCCAAGGAATTGATGCCGCTGACGAGGAAGAGCCTTCGTGAAGATATCAGCCACTTGAAGATTTGTGGATACATGGGGCAAGGAAATCACTTGATATTCAAATGCTTCCCGAATAAAATGACAGTCTACTTCAATGTGTTTCGTGCGCTCGTGATAAACTGGATTGGCAGTAATGTGAATAGCACTAGTGTTATCAACATGCAATGGAGTAGGCCTCGTGGGTGAAAACCCAAGCTCTGCTAGTAAACCTCGTAGCCATATGATATCTGAACAAGCAAGAGACATAGCACGATATTCTGACTCCGTAGATGATTTAGAAACCCGATCCTGCTTCTTGCTTTTCCAGGAAACGAGAGCAGGTCCTACAAACATACACCATCCCGTGGTGGAGCGACGAGTGTCTACACAACCAGCCCAATCAACATCACTATAGCCAGATAGTTCAAGAGAAACACCATTTGGAAAATAAAGTCCCTTGGTAACGGTTCCTAGAACATAACGAATAATACGTCGAACTGCAGCCATATGGAGATGACGGGGATTCTGAAGAAACTGACTAACCTGCTTGAACAACAAACGAGAGATCTGGACGAGTAATCGTAAGATATACTAAGCTGCCCACAAGCCTACGATATATTGTTGGGTCTGGAAGAAGATCTCCTTCATCTTTTCGAAGTTTAACATTTAGCTCCATAGGAGTATCAACTGGAGAAGTGCCACTAAGACCTGCAGAATCAATGATATCCCGAGCATACTTGGCTTGATTTAAAAAAATACCAGTTGAACCCACAGTAACCTCGAGCCCCAGAAAATATGAAAATCCTCCAAGATCCTTCATATGAAAAGAACTATGCAAATGTTGTTTGAGCTGAGAAATAATTGAGTGATCAGTTCCAGTGATAACAATATCATCTACATAGACAAGAAGCACTACAATCCCGTCTGAAGTATGTCGGAGAAACATGGATGTATCATGCTTACTTGGCTGAAACGGGAACTGCTGAAGTGTAGCACGAAACTTTTCATACCAAGCACGAGGTGACTGTTTTAGTCCATACAAAGAACGGTGTAACTTACAAACCTTTGTGGTGGGACTAGAGAAAAGACCAGGAGGTGCACGCATAAAGATATCTTCTTTAAGATCACCGTGAAGGAATGCATTTTTTACATCCATTTGACATAGAGACCATCCCTGGGAGGCAGCAATAGCAAGAACAGTCCGGATTGTGGTCATTTTTGCTACAGGAGCAAAAGTTTCCTCATAATTGACTCCATATTCTTGATGATTACCGAGTGCCACCAAACGTGCTTTAAAAAGATCAATACTGTCATCAGATCTAACTTTGACCGAATACACCCACTTGCATCCAAGAGGAGTGATATTAGGAGGACAGGATACAACATCCCATGTCTGATTAATTTCAAGAGCCCGCAATTCTTCCTGCATTGCTTCTTGCCAACACTTATGTTTGGCAGCCGGTGAATAACATGAGGGAATAACAACAGATGCTACTGTAGCAACAAGAGCATGAGAAGAGGATGAAAATCCATACCGATCTGGTGGTACTGAACGTCGTGTAGAGCGACGAAGAGGAATCTCCACAGTGCTCGTATCCTCAAGAGGAAGCTATGGCACAGGATCTAATGCAGGGAAGGAGGTGGCAAAGAGTCTGGCGGACGGCGTCTAGCATACACTATTCCTTTGAACCTAGAGCTAGGAGGACTAGAGACACTTTCAAACGTAGGTAATATGACAGAAGATGAGTTATTAGGAAAATAAGTACGATAGAAATACTGATTTTCAAAGAATATAACATTCCTGGAGACTCGCAACTTGTTTTCTTGCGGATCAAAACAAATGAATCCCTTTTGACTAATGTTATATCCTAGAAACACACAACGAACAGACTGGGCAGAGAGTTTATGACGTTCGGTGGGCGGAAGATGAACAAAACACACACAACCAAAAGGGTGAAGATTAGTGTACACTGGATGACGTTTATGGAGCCGGAAATGAGGTGATTCAAACTCCAAGACCTATGATGGAAGTCGGTTTATTAGGTAACTGCTGTAGACAAAGCTTCAACCCAAAATCGAGTAGGGACTTTGGATTCTATAAGTAAGGTCCGAAGGATATCAAGAAGATGGCGATTTTTTTGTTCCGCAACACCATTTTGTTGAGGAGTATAAGGACATGATCGTTGAGATAGGATTCCCTTGGATTCAAGAAATGTTTGAAATTCATGAGACATATACTCCCCACTAGAATCAGTATAAAGAACTTTGATACTTGTGGAAAATTGAGTTTCTACAAAGGCAAGAAAATTTTGAAATGTTCTGAAAACATCAGCCTTCGATCGAAGAAAATATATCCAAGTGTAACGACTATAATCGTCAATAAAATTAACAAAGTATTTGTGATGAGAATGAGACACAACAGGAGAAATTCCCCAAACATCACTATGAATGAGCTCAAAACAATGGGAGGCACGACTACCATTAGATGGAAAAGTAAGAACTTTGCTTTTGCCTAGTTTGCATGATTCACAATCAAAATGAGAAAACATATTCTCTTTATTACTCAAAAGACCAAGACGTAACGAATGAGAAAGAACTCGAGGATTCGGGTGGCCAAGTCTCCTATACCACACCAATCCTGAATTTTTATTACATGCAAAAGCAGAAACTGAGTTATATCTAGTAAAGTGTAAAGGAAAAAGACGTCTAATCCTAGGCCCCTTCGTTATCAGCTCCCCTGACACTTGATCATGCACAAGACAACCATCACAAGAGAATTTCACATCACATTTATCATCAAGAAGTTGTCCAACAGAGATCAGACTTTTAGATAATTTGGGACAGACAAATACATCTTTAACCAGATGAGAAATATCACCAATTGTGGTAATATGCAGCTTATTACCATTGGCAGATTCAATAGATAAAGAACCATCATATTTGCGAATATTATTGAGTCCATGTACTGAATGTGTCACATGATTGGAGGCTCCTGAATCTAGAAACCAATTAAAATAAGGTAAAGAGTTGCCTTGAATTCCCAATGCTGAGAAAGCAGAAACTATGATCTGCTGTACCATTTCAGGTGTAATAGAGACGGGAGTATTTGACACGTTTGGAGAAGTGAGCACAGCTTCTGTGGTAGCCTTATATGCGGTGTTTTTCTTGCGGGGTGGACGAATAGAGCAATCTTTGATGTTATGTCTAAAGGAATTTAGGATAAGAAAGAATTGAGACTGAAAGGCTTGATTTATTCCATGAAATGATTTGCTATTTATACAATATTCTAGGGATTAATAAGGTAGGTTACTAATTATAATATTAAATACAAATATTTTGTAACTGAAAATTCTATTTAATAATGTAACTGTTGTCTAGACTTTTCTTTGTCTAGACTCTTCTATATGCCCCCGCAAGCCAGGTTTTCTATCAGTGTTAAGAATCCTGAGCTTGTCACGTAGAAGAACAAATCGCTGCCGTGAAAGTGGCTTGGTGAGAATGTCAGCTAGTTGATCGTGAGAGGGAATATGGAGGACTAGAAGAAGGCCACGTTGCACACGTTGACGGACAAAATGGAAATCAATGGCCACATGTTTCATTCGGGAATGGAATACCGGATTGGCGGAAGAGGTGGTCGCACCTTTATTATCACATAGAAGAACTGGAGGAGTAGAAGGGGAATGTCGAAGCTCATGAAGAAGTGACTCAATCCAAAGAGTTTCCGATGCAGCAGTGGAAAGGGCCCGATACTCTGCTTCGGTAGAGGATTTGGCAATTGTGCGTTGCTTGGATGACTTCCACGAAATAAGTGATTCTCTGAGAAAAATGACATGGGCACTAGTAGAGGATCGATGGTCTGGATTTTCTGCCCAGTCTGCATCAGCATAAGCACACAAAGAAAGTTGAGAACTCCGACAGAGATAAACCATGAGAGGCTGTTCCTTGAAGATACCGCAAGAGACGTTTCATGAGCTGCCAATGATTGACCGTGGGTTTGTGCATAAACTGGGTAGCTTGTTGATGGCAAAGGCAGTGTCAGGTCGGGTGAGGCTTAGATACTGAAGTGATCCAATAACTTGACGATAGAGGGTGGCATCACAAGAACCCGGACTATCAAACAGAGTCAAGGAAGCTGAGGAAGCTAAGGGTGCGGATACTGGATTCGCCTCATGCATATTCAACACATGTAATAAATCTGTAATGTACTTGTGTTGATCAAGAAAGAGTCCATCATATGTAGGGGTGACCTGTATGCCCAAAAAGTAATGTAATGATCCTAAATCCTTGATGGAGAACTTCTGTGCTAACAAGTC